GGTGGAACATAGTTGTGGTCATGGCTACATTACTAACCTCTCGCTCAGCCATTTGTTGAAGCAGTCTTTCTTTGGGAAATGGGAGTTGGACCCTTCCCCTTTCTGAAATCCAAAATGCCATCAGTGATATCCTTCTCCATTCAGCCCATTCTGATGGCTTGTGGTGTCTTACAAGTTGCTGAAAGAATGTTGCCTGGAGGGAAGCTCTCTGAGTAAAAGACACGCTATGGGTTCAGTCTTCCAGTGTAGAGTCTCTACATAAAAGGGTGATTAAATATGAGGCAAAGCAATTCTAAAATGTTAGCCTGCATCAGTCATCTGGGGGGAATGATTAGAAATATGGAATCTGGGGCCCCATCCCTAGTCTTTCAGAGAGTTCCTGGAACAGGGTCCAGGGATCTGCATTTGCAACAATTGTCCCGGGTGACTCTGAAACAGGAGGTCATGGACACTGCTCTGTGAAATACTGCTCAAGACAATATAGAGTATTCATGTTTCTTCTGATTCTGAACTTCAGTGCATCTGGGGTCCTTGGTGCCTCAGGTGCCTTCCAGATCTTGGCTAATCTAGGAAGACTGAAACACTCTTGGCCCCACTGCAACCTCTTGATCCTCTGGTTTGCTGCCTATAAAATGAAACACCCTCATACTTTCAGTTTTAAGGGAAAATATACAGTATGATAATAGCGGTAATGTTGATTTTAAAAAGTGTGCTACCTTAAACTTAGATATAATTTAACAATAGCTTTCACTTTATCTTTTGATTTTCACAATCATCTCCATATAATTTCACAGTAAATCATTTCACTTATGAAGAAACTGAGGCACAGAGATATGTTCTGGAGCCAACAGTAACAACATTATCCCATTGACTGCATAGCTGAACTTAAGTTTGGGGTCCTGGTCTTTAACCTGGCCATTGGAGAAGGGTGCTTGAAGGCCTCACCAAGGAGTTTGGTTGTGGTCTTTAGTTATGACGGGTCTCTTGAACTTGGTTGTGACATTTTCCTGTTTTTGCTCTCTTGTCTGTCCAAGCTCTTACAGCACTAGAACCGGGACTGGAACACCATCCAATCACCAAGTTGGCAGTCTTCCTAGCAGACTGTCCTGTCTTTCTGTATAAAATCCATAGAGTACCATGTGGCTGCTGGTGCTGATTAGTGGATAGGGGTTGTACTATTACCTTAATCCAGAGATTTACCAAAAAGACATTAAAATGACCAAGAAAAACTTTTAAGACTTTTATGTGACCAGAGTCTCCTTCCTGAAACTGGACCAGCTATAGCTGAATAGTCTGCTTTCATTTCTCTTAATGAGGGTACCTTATGTGTGGCATAGATTATGTTAGGAGTCAGGAGACCTGAGTTCTGGTCCAGGCTCGGCCAATAATTTGCTGTGAGCTTGTGAGATTGTACTAATCTCTTGGAGTCTCAGTTTCCTCATTTATAACATGAAGAATCTTACTCTGCACTTTCTAGGTCTAGTATCCTTCAATCTGACTCCTACCAAGCCACTGGGAATGCTAGGGATATATGAATGAATGCCTTCTCTAGGATCCATTCATCTGAGGATGAGACATTTCCAGGGGCACAGAAACTAGAAGCCTCATTTTTGTGAAAAAAATCTTGGGAGTGGGTTATGTTTATTTGCTACCCACTTGGCATATACGGATGCCCACTGCCTCCACCATTCATTTTGCTTTCAGCTTTTGTTTTGCTACCTGAAGGAAGCCCAGAACCTCTTGCAGTCACAGCAAGGCATGGCAAGGAAAAAGCTAATATGGTGACACTGCTTTCATGCCTGGAAGTGAATAAGAAAGGGTGGGCATGTCTAGCTACAAGCAGTCTTGGGGTTCCCATGTGGCCTGTTGATGATCTCATGACCAGGCATAGGAATGTTGCTAAGGACTGATGAATTATAGAGAGCCTGGGCCTTAGCAGGCACCTACTCTGCTTCAAACTCTAAGTATATTGGAAGCACATTTACTAGAATCTGGATTTAGAGTAAGTCAAGGACAGATATTATATTTTAATGATATCTTCAGAGCCTCAGGAGTAGGCATTCAATCAATACCTACTGAATAAATGAACATGCCTGCAGAATGGGATCATAAAACTAGAGAGAAACAAATTATCCCCAAAGCTGTTCTGAAGACTAGACCATGGAATGCCAGGACCAAGGATGTGGGTCTTATTTCAATTTTTCTTTGTTCTACTTTATCTTGTTTTGGTGCCAGCTTTCTTCATTACAGGCTCAAGGAGCTCTGAAGACAAAGGGTGGCTGAGGACCATTTCTCTGGTTTAAATAATACATTTTAATGTATATAATTATATATTAATTTTATTTCTATAATATATAAATTAATTTTACAGAATGTATAATTTTAATATATAATATATAACAATTTTCTATTATGTTAAAAAACATAACATAAAATTTGCCATCTTAATATTTTAAAGCATATACAGTTTGGCAGTAGTAGATACACCTCTCATATTATTGTGAAATAAAGGCCATATATATATATATTTTTTGAGACAGCATTTTGCTCTTGTTGCCCAGGCTGGAGTGCAATTGCATGATCTTGGCTCACTGCAACCTCTGCCTCCTGGGTTAAGCAATTCTCCTGCCTCAGACTTCTGTGTAGCTGGGATTACAGGCATGTGCCATCACGCCTGGCTAATTTTGTATTTTTCGCACAGATGGAGTTTCTCAATGTTGGTCAGGCTGGTCTCGAACTCCCAACCTCAGGTGATCCACCTGCCTCAGCCTCCCAAAGTGCTGGGATTACAGGCCTGAGCTACTGAGCTCAGCCAAGGGCCATATTTTTAAGAGCTACTCCTGAGACCTAAAAAACACACAGATTTTTCAGAAGTAAAATGTTATAGGAGATCTTGCCTACAGATCTGCTTTCTAAAGTTTAAATTCTATTTTCTAAAAAATTATTAAGAATTAGAGCTATGTTTTTATAATTTTTAAAAAACCCTTCAGTAGTTTAAGTTGAAAAGAGTTAATGTGGTGGCCATGACCATTACAGATGCCTTTGCTACATCTTATGATGTGGGGCTTTCTCCTATGATACAAAATCTGTAGATATTACATTTTTATTTATTTCCCCTTTGGTTAAGTGAGCATGTTCCAAGTCAAATAAAGCTGGGTTGCAGTGCCACATACTACCATTAGGTGCCACTGTTTGACAGGATAGTAAAGGGACTGAAAGTAACTGAATAAAACTTTTTTTCCTCTCTCCTTTCTCTTTTTGTGCCTACTGGGTGCCAAGCTCTATGCTAGGCCCTGCAGATACAGCAATAAACAAGACAGGCCTCTGAGTGAGGTAGACAAGTCATTACAGTAGGAGGGGTATGTTTAAAAGAACAGTATATCCATGATGCTGTGGGAGCACTTGTTTAGAGTCTACTGTAGCAAATCAGGTGAAACATGAGGGAGTTGAACCATGGCAGGAGCTATGAGGGTGGAAAGAAATTTGGGCTTTTGGGGCCAGGCACGGTGACTCACGCCTGTAATCCCAGCACTTTGGGAGGCTGAGGCGGGTGGATCACGAGGTCAGGAGATCGAGACCATCCTGGCTAACACAGTGAAACCCCGTCTCCACTAAAAATGTGAAAAATTAGCTGGGCGTGGTAGCATGTGCCTGTAGTCCCAGTTACTTGGGAGGCTGAGGCAGGAGAATCGTTTGAACCTGAGAGGTGGAGCTTGCAGTGAGCCAAGATCATACCACTGCACATACCACTGCACTTCAGCCTGGGTGACAGAGCAAGACTCCATCTCAAAAAAAAAAAAAGAAAAGAAATTTGGGCTGTTGGAACACCTTGATGGGTTTATATTTTTGTGGTGGCCATGGATGCAGATGGTCCTGAACCCCTTGATCACTGATCTTGCACTATTCACCAGTTTGTAACATGGCCATGGGCAAACCTTTGGTTCATATGGCTTTTTTTTTTTTAATGTGCATTATTTGCCAAATGAAATACAGATTTTTAACTTCTCATGAAAAATCAGAAGGTCTAGCAGCAATTGATTAAAACCAAATCATAGCTGCCCTCTTAGTAGACCACCAATTCTTCAGCCAGCTTGTATCTCTCACCTTGGTTCTTGTCTGGTCCCTTTGAGCAGGGCCAATATTTAGTGGGTGTGTACTGGGGTGAATTATGTCTGTTCTGATTGGTGACTAGTTTCCCTGAGCTCCCTTAGTGTCTCCTATGCTCCAGGCCATTCCCCAATAGCATCTCCCCGATGCACTTCCTTACAATCTGTCTATAAAAAGGTTTCATTTGGCACTGCAGGGCCTCTGGCTCCCTGCTCTAGTGCTAGGTCCAACATCCATTTTCTGATTAGACCTTGTCCTGGGCCAAAGGGATTGTTCAATATTTTGAAATCATCCCCACCTTTAGGGGATGAAGTCTGCGTGTGACTGCTGGACTGGATGATTCCTGCCTGCAGGAGAAGGAAAATACAGGATAGACCCCAAGGCAGGGGATGTGTTCACTCACAGATGGTTTTGGGGTTGGGGTTTTTGTTTTGTTTTGTTTTTACAAACTTTTAATTATAAAAGCTGTTTTATTTTCAGAAATGTTTACATTTCCATAGCATGCTGCTGAATGCATCAATGTGGAGAGGATTATGTAAATTTTTACAACCTAAGGGAGACAGGATATTAGTTTTTTATTTTTTGCAGCTCCAACACATTAAAATAATGGAATTTCTTTTTTTGTCTATGGAATGCCATTCCAGAGACATATTTAAGTTCTTTGTGGTCAGCCTCAGGTAGCAGGACAGCTAAAATGGATAATAGTAATAATTAATAGTTATAATAAAATATATTTGTACTTTTGGAAACCAGCCTGTTTGTGATTCCTTCACGAACAGCCTATCTATGTGAGACCTGAAGGCCAACCTTAGAGGAACCCATTGTTTCTCCTCCAAGAGCTCGTTCTGTGTCTAGAGAAACACTTGTTGGGTTTTAATTAGAAACCAGTGGGGCTGTGGGCTGGCTGGCTGGCTGCACCACACGCTGTGAACCGGGAGGGCTGAGTGGAGGCCAGGGAGTCTGAGAATATCTTCAGGGTGAGATATTTGATTACACAAGGGAGAGGAGATGATTGCCAGTCCTCCCATCTGGAGAAATGTTTCTGGGTGGCAGGAGCTAAGGATAGGGTGAAAGAAAGTGACCCAGTGAGGAGAGTGGGGTGAGGCAAGGAGAGGGGCTGGGCGGGTGTGTGTCAGCTCCAGGAGGCTGGCCCTGCCTTTGCCCTGTGTCCATCTGACACTGAACGGAATATGACCCAGTGCTTGCGGGGCTGAGTCAGAGCTCTTTCCACTGCTCTGCAGCTCACTCTCCTCATGCTTACCTGGACAAACCCACTTCTGGCCACACTGGCTGGAGCATTAACCTATGGGTCTTCCTCAGATGATGGAGTTGAGGGAAAGGCAGGCTTTTCTTCTGAAGTCAAGGTAGGAACTCCCTCTGTCTTTTCCTTCACAGCTGGAATTTTCTGCTTGTACAGCTCTTAATACCTCAACTCCTAACCAGGGCTTACAGGCCTCTCTCTCCCACTGAAATGTGAACCCTGCAATGGGAATGACCACACCCTCCATTTTTTTGTAGAGCATCCAGTACAGTGTCTGAAAGATTCTCCCCGGGGCCTGAAAGCTTAAGGGAATGAATAACTTCTCCCTCCTCGGGCCCAGTCCCAAGGCAGAAGGCCACTTGTGCCAGCAGCATGTGTCAGCAAGATAGCAGAAGCAGGAAGAGAGCTGGCCGGAAGACGCATACCCACTGAAGATCGAGAGGGAGGCCGTCCGGGGGGTACCGAATAGCAGTTACATCAGACTGAGACACTTCCTGTTTACAGGAGACTATAAAACCCCTGCCCCGTCCTCATTTGGTGCTGACGCCATTTTAGGCCTCAGCCTGCCTGCACCCAGGAGCTCATTAACACAGCGTGTGTTGCTCCGCACTGCCTCATGATGTTTGTTGGCACCATCTCGGGGTTTGAACCGACACAAGAGCCTTGCAGTGTCTGGCACAAATAAATGTAGCAAAACCCAGGAGAGGTCTGAAATTGCTGTAAGCCAAAAATAAGATTCTAAGTCCCCCTCCTGGCCAAGGGGATTCCAAAGAAAGCTGAAAAAACCAGTTCAGGTTGTAGCAGGACAAGCTGCAGACAAAACCCCTCAGATGCCGAGTTAAAGAAGGAAGGGCTTTATTCAGCTGGGAGCTTCGGTAAGACCCACATCTTCAACAACCAAGCTCCCTGAGTGAGCAATTCCTGTCCCTTTTAAGGGTTTACAACTCTAAGGGAGTCCACATGAGAGGGTCATGATAGATTGAGCAAGCAGCGGGTACACTACTGGGGGCTGCATGCACCGGTAATCAGAATGGAACAGAACAGGCCAGGAATTTTCACAGTGCTTTTCCATGCAATGTCTGGAATCTGTAGATAACATAACCGGTTAGGTCAGGAGTCCATCTTCAACCAGGCCCAGGGTGCGGCACTGGGCTGTCTGCCTATGGATTTCATTTCTGCCTTTTAGTTTTTACTTCTTTCTTCGAAGGCAGAAATTGGGCATAAGACAATATGAGGGGTGGTCTCCTCCCTTATTCCCCCACTTTGAGAATCTCACTCAATAGTGGGCGTTCTCACTTTCATTCTCACTACCCATGTCTTCTTGGAAGACAGATCGATAGTGATTCATATAGTACGCTTGTGCTAAAGCATTTTGGTGAACTAAGGTAGCGATGAAGCTTTTTATCGTTTGAGGAAGTACAGGTAGCAAACAAGGGAGCAGTAAGCAAGTTCCTATTACTATTATAACTCCTATTATAAGAGTTTTAAATCCTCCTAGTGCTGGGAACCATTTTCTAAACATGGCCCTAGGATCAAATCCATGCTACCCTTGCACATTTGGCACATGACAAATTCATGTGCCAGTTTTGTCATATTTCTATGTCTTCAACTACTTGTCCTTGATCATCTATGTGTAGACAACAATTAGTAAGGTTAAATTTTCTACAGACCCTTCCTTCAGCTGCTAGCAAGTAGTCGAGAGCCAATCTATTTTGATAGATAGCATTTCTCATCTGAGTTTCTTGCCAGGCCAGAATAGTCAAGGCTCTGCCGGTTTTGTTAGTGATGATTTCTAAGATAGCTTGTAACCATATGATTCGGTTAAGCATGTAAATGGGGGTCTGGTATCCCCACGAGCCATCTTGTGCCCAAGTACTAGGCCTATAATATTGTATAATTCTCTCAGGGGGCCATTCATCATCTTTCCAATTTCCTATAGCTATGCTTCTCTTTTCATGGGAAGCATAGACAGGGAAGCCCAGGAGTCCACCTGTCTTTATGGGCAGTAGGAAGAAAGATGGTTTAATAGTGTCAATAACACAACTATCTGCCCACAGGTCGGGTAATTTGGCATAAGATCTCACCCACATATCCAGTATAATCCAGTGGGGGCTGTCCAGTCCCAGTGGGACTCCAGGTGGGTCCACACGGTTTGCAACTTTGGGAATTTACTAAATGGATTTTTCTTAATATGGTTTGAACTCCACTAGGTGGCTGTTTTTGTGGTACTACTATACAGTTGTTGCTCAAGGCAGCTGAGTCTTCCCACAGGAAGGGTGAAGTCCTTCCCCACTCTTGCTATACAGTATTGTCTAATGATTGAGGCTTTTAGAACCTTGAAGTTATCAGGATGATTCTTTTGAGTCGAGAATTTATCAGGAACTGGGTCTGTAGGTACTAATTCTCGGGCTTCCCATGGCCATTGATTTCCCATTACAGTTCCTCCCCAAACTGTAATAATATGAAGTGACACTGAGAGACTGGGCTATGTGCTTGGCTAATTGCAAAAACAAATTTCTTGTTTTTCCTGGAATTTCTGGTACTGGCACATTCAGTTCATCATAGAAGGTTTGAAATACTGACTCAGGAGAGTGTTCATAAACTCCTCCTCAAACCACGATATTTACTCGAGGATCCAGTCCAGCCCTATCAATTCCTAGGGTTACAAGCTCCCCTTTTTTTCCAGCGAGGATCCAGGGAGTTCGTTATTACTAGTTCTGAGGGGTTACACTGACCACTGGTATAGGAAGGGCCACTTTTCCCTTTCTGAAGGTGGACAGAATCCTTTTCATTTTTTATCCAAGTAACCTAAATGACACAAGACCAGGATCCACATTCGTTTCCACACAGTCCTAATTCATGACAAATGTACTTACTTTCTGCCATAAAGCCTCTTTCCTAATTAAAAGAACCACATCCTATTCCTAACTTATTACTATTAATGACAGCACAGGCATCAAACTTCAAGGTGACTTGTTTGGGCACCCCTTTTTCTTTCATTTTGGCTAACACTTTACTCGAATCGTTTATGAGCCCCCACCAGTCCTCAGTCCTTAATCTTATTTCAAAAACTGTGATCATGGGAGGCGCAGATGGGTCATAATACACATCAGGTTGGTCATTTCCTGGGCTACACACCTTGTATAGAATAGCATTATACAAACAAGTTCTTTTTAGAGTCCTGGTACACTTATTATAACCATAAAATAATAGGACTGTAGCAACTTTTTGTCCTACCTCAGTGCCTTGATGTATACACTGGGAACAGCCCTCAGTCTGAGGAAGGTCAGTTAAAGTCCTTACCGTACAAGTCCAAATTTTAAGGAAAATGAGTCCCGCAATGAGTTTTCTCATGCTTCGGCCATGCATGGACCAATCAGCTTCCGGGTGTGACTGGAGCAGGGCTTGTTGTCTTTTTCAGAGTCACTTTGCAGGGGTTGGTGAAGCTACTCCCGTCCACATACCACTCACAGCCTACTGATGTTTAAGGATGGTCTCAGAGGTTGGGCCAGCTAGAATAAACTGAGTCTAATATCTCTACACAGTTATGTTCAACTGGGCTCTCTGATACCAGGAGCAAGGTGGTGGGGTTTAGGATGTTGCAAACGTCAATGGTTATGTGGGGATTTTCACATAGCAAGCTTTGGTGCTTGGTTAATCTAGCATTTGTTAGCCAATGATGTTGTTTGGTATTCATCAAAGTTACCACGGCATGGGGGACCTTTATATTCAGGTTTTGCCCAAGGATTAGTTTATCTGCTTCTTGTGCTAACAGGGCTGTTGCCGCCAGGGCCCTTAGACATGGGGGCCAGCCTTTGGAAACCCTGTCCAGTTGTTTTGAGAGATAGGCCACTGGCCTTGGCCAGGGCCTCACAGTCTGGGTTAAAACTCCAATTGCCATTTTTTTTTCTTTCTGACACATAGAGTGTAAAGGGTTTTGTCAGGTCAGGTAGCCCCAGGGCTGGGGCTGACATGAGTTTTTCTTTCAACTGATGAAAATCTCGTTGCTGTCGGTTGTAATAGATGTAGTTTATTCAATTTACATTTGTATTAACTGTCACCCACCAAAATATTGACTCAAATCCTGCAGCTATTTGATTTCAAGCTTTAAATTGATCTGGTATTCCCTGTGGGACTCCAATTGCGTCTAAATGGACGTGAGAGTCAAAAGACCCAGAAGGGGCATCTCTCACTTTATGATGTCTTTAGTTTTCCTCCCTCTGGTTGATGAAATGCCAGGGTGAAAGGGATAACCAATTGGACTAAAGTACAAGTACCACTCCAGTTATTTGGCAGAGTGCCCAGTAAAGGTCCACCACAATACCACCACACATCCACTCGGGGATGAACATGGGCTAACTGATTGATAAGCTCTTGAAAATTCTTAAGCTCACTGCATCCCTTCAGGTCTCCAAGGAACGCTGTTTCCTCCCTGTCATGAGAGACACGAAGTGAACTTAGTGTTGGGGAGATGGAAGCTGGATGGCCCTCAGGGGCTGACCAGCAGGGTGCCAGACTTTGGGATATAGCAGAGAGAGCTTGGCAGGACTTATTACTCCAGGCTGTGGAATCCTGGAAAAGAGCTACCATGCAGCCCAGGCCTGGTCAACTGGGGGACCACCTTCGTGGAAAGGGGACAATCTGGGCCTCTGGCCTGCCATGTGCACAAGCATACCAATTACTTTTGTTTAACGTTTGGATGGAATATTTGATACACTCCAATGGATGGAATATTTGATTCATTGGAATGGATCTTGGTATCCTGTCTTAATTGCCAAAGTTTAAGTCTTTAACTTCTATGATCCTCTAGTAAAATGAATGTATGATTTTAGGAAATTACAAAAAACGGTTGGGGCAGTTCATCCTTGCTCTTTAGTGGTCCACAGAACGTTGGACCAACTACGACATAAAAACTCTACATTGAGGGGCAAGACTCCTGGTTGGCACTGGAGTCTTTATCAAAATCTCCCTGCATTAAATGGCCCTAATTTACTAATGCCCAGTATGAGGAGAGTCAGGAGGGACAGAGATACTTTTCTGAAGTTGAGATCTGTCTTTGACTTGGCATGTCCTCACAGGGTATAACAAGGCAAGCATTAAATGCTATAGTTTGAGGCAAAATTGACTTGGTTATGTTAATAACCAGATGGTCAGCAATAGAGTGAGGAAAGAAGGAAGAGTAATAGAATAGAGGAAATAGTTAAATTTTTCGTAGCTTTAGTTTGGTAGGGTTTTCCCGTGGGACTGTGGCCCACAACTCTGGAGAGGGTGGCACTTTGACTTGGGTGTGATGAATCTATCCTTTTTCTGCTATACGAACAGCAGTCTCTTGGGGTAGCAGCACAAGGCAGGGTCCTTCCTAGGCTGGCTCGAGTTTTTCTTCTTTTCACGCTTTGATAAGAAGGTGATCTTCAGGCTGGTGCTGGTTTACTGGAAATTCTAGGGGTGAAACCTGTGCTAAAAGACTTTTAGTTCTGAGGGAAAGGAAAGTGGAAGATAAACCAAGTATATAATTTCTAAGAAATTGAATTTTTGTTTTAAATGTGGGAACATCAACAGCAGACTTTATAGTCTTTGGTGCCTTCTTACTGAGAAATTTCCTTTAGCACCTATTTTTATTAGTTTTTAGATCAAAGAAAGCCAAATGCCGTTTTGTATTTAATAATGCTTCTTGTATGATTTTTTATACCAGATAAGCTAAATTTCACCTTTATATTAGTGTATTATTAATGTTAAACTTAATTTTAATAAAACCTTGTAGACGTATTTATCCAATTTTTAATGTCAGACCATCAGGTAAGATTTTTATAGACTCTTTTTAACCTTTTATAATTTTTGTTAAAGAGTAGGTTAGTGCTTTAAGAAAAACCTGTTGTGTTTTTACTTTAATGTCCAGTTCACAGAAAAACTGGATGATACCCCTTTAACTTTAGCTAATATGTTTACACACAGAATTTTCTTTACAATTAATGTTTTAAAGCTTGCTTAAACCTTCAACAATATATATATATTTTTAACCTTTTAATGTAGGTAAAAATTTACATTCTTATGTCTCCTTATAATCCTTTTACCAAAGGTATATTTTACTTTCCTTATACACCTTACACATAAACTGTTTTTTTTTTTAATAGTTTTACATTCCGGAGGACTAGTTACTTTTAAATTATACAGTATTTCTTGCATAAATTCTTTTTTTTTTTAACTTTTTTTTTCTCTTTCATGACTTTTGCAGACAATTCTTCAACCTGCCTCAACTTTTGGAGTTATTACAAACATTTATTTCTTTAAACAACCAGTTAATTTATTTCAGGACGAGAATTTACCATGTAACATTCTTTTTACATAAATTCTGTCTCCCCTCCCCCCCCTTTTTTTTCCAATGGTAACCATTCTTTTCCAAAGCAAACTTCTTTTATGTCTGTGGACTAGACTGTCTAAGGCCACAAGATTAGAAGTTACAATAATACATGTTACACTGTTAACTTTTAGCAAACTTTACTTTTGTTGAAAACCTTGTAAGTTTGGGATTTCAATTATCCTTTGCTATTAATAAGACCTTGTTTAGTCCAAATTTAGTCCAAAACTTAGAATTTGGTATAGATGGCTTTTTTTTTTCCCCTTCAATTACCTGGAAGGAACCATAGATCTTCCTGTCCTGAGGGGAGTTCCTCCTAGGTCTGGTTGGACCTTTGTATGGTAATTAAGATTTAAATTCCCTGTTAGAAAACCTGCTGGATTAAGGGAATTTTCAGTGGTTAATGTTAAATCATCCTTTTTTTTTTTTTTTTCCTAAGGATACTTTTGAACTGGTGAGGTGTGCTCACAATGAGGTTTCCTCTAAAAGTTATTTTTTTTACTTTCTTCTGTTAGTAAAGCAGTTGCCACTACAGATTGAATGCATCTGGGCCATCTGTGGGTTACCGGATTAAGGATTTTTGATAGGAAGGTCTCAGTGCTTTTGGGATATGCCCTTATTTACACTGACAACAAAGTGGTATTAAAGTGTTATAGGGTTATGGAAAATACCTTTAATTATCAATTATAGGTTTTAAATTTACAATGGCTTTTAAAGGAATAAGGTACACTTTTTTTTTCTTAACTACTTGTATATCTGCTTCTTTCTCTCTTTGTTTTTCTCTTTTTCTCTTTGACTTTCCTTTTGCTTCTGTCTCTTTCTTTCTCTCTCTCTTTGTCTCTCTCTCCTTGACTCCCTCTTTGCCTCTCTGTCTCTTTCACTCTCTCTGCCTCTGTCTTTCTCTCTCTCTCCTTGACTCCCTCTTTGTCTCTCTGTCTCTTCCTCTGTATCTTTTCCTCTCTCTCTTTGCCTCTTTTTCTGTCTGTCTCTTTCCTCTCTCTCTCTCTGCTGGTCTTTCCTTACCTCTGCCAGCCGCTTATGCTGCTGTTCTCTCAACCACTGTGGGAGGTGTCTAAAACCAGCTGTAACCAAATGTCTATTTACGGGAACTGGTCTGGGTGCCCTGGCTTACAGGTTACTTTGTGCTATACCTTTGAAACAAGGGACCTGTCCAGGTTTCCTTCTGATGGCCAACCTACCTCTAATGCTGACCAGTCTATTTCACACGAAGTTCTAAGTTTTCCTGGTGTCATAGTAATACCGTAATCTCCCCTAAATCCTTTCTTGAAAATTTTCAATAGTTCCTAGTGGGGTAGGCTTACTTTGTGCCTGACCCATGCTTCTTCGAGACAATTGCCCCAGTGAAACACCTCACCAAAGCAGCTTGTGGCAGACTCCCATGGAGGATCAACACAGTGGCTGAACACTGGGAAGGAACTGGCACTTGGAGTCCAGACATCTGAAACTTGGTAAGACTAATCTTTGGAACTTGCCCACTCCATTTGAGTGGAAGTGTGGCCTGATCACCCACAGTGTGCCTGTACTGGCACTTTGGTTTTTGTTTTTGACTTGACTTGGATTGCTTGATACTTTGGTTTTGGTTTTGACCTGGCTTGGATTTCTGGATACTCTGATTTTGGTTTTGATTCTGGTTTGATGTAAACTGTAAAAGTGTGTGTGTGCCCTTTTTACCCGTTCTTTGTTTTGTGGTGTGTGTGTGTGGTGTGAGCGTGGTGTTTTGTCTCGAAGAAGCATGGGTCAGGCACAAAGTAAGCCTACCCCACTAGGAACTATTGAAAATAGTAATCAGAATGGAACAGAACAGGACAGGGATTTTCACAATGTTTTTCCATACAGTGTCTGGAATCTATAGATAACATAACTGATTAGGTCAGGGGTCAATCTTTAACCAAGCCCCTGGTGCTGAGCTGTCTGCCTGTGGATTTCATTTCTGCCTTTTAGTTTTCACTTCCTTCTTTGCAGGCAGAAATTGGGCATAAGACAATATGAGGGGCGGTCTCCTCCCTTAAGGTCATAACAGGAAAGGAGTGGTCAGACATGCCTCTTTACACCCTCTCCCTTAAGGAGTTCAGGCACAACTGACCAACACTGACACTAAAACAGGGATCTCAAGATGGACGAGACAGTGTTTGTAGCAATAAGATATCAAATTCCATCCTGACTCTCTGACTCTAGTATATCACATGACAGATAAAGAAGGAAATAAAAATATTTTACCCCAAAATATGTTTCTTTGCCATATTTTGAAATGTCCCTGCAATTTTGTGAGGGAAAGCTGTTGTGGGAAAAATTTGCATCTGTAAAGAATCTCTGTTAACATAACAAGGTCTTTACTTTTCCAGGCCCTTTGAATCCAGAAAAGATTAACTGAGAATCTAGCACCTTTTAAAGGTCTAAGTAGGAAACATTTGCCATCTATATTCTCCAAGGGGGACCACCCAGGAGACTTCATCTGCATAATAAGAGCCTTAGTTTGCACAACCCCTTATCTTAACCCAGACACTCCTTTCTATTGATTCCAGGTCTTTAGATAATAACTCTTTCAACCAATTGCGAATCAGACAACTCTAAGCGTCCTCTTCCAGTTGTCCTGCTTTTCCTTACCAAACCAATGTATACCTCATGTGTATTGATTGATGTCTTCTGTCTTCCTAAAACCCATAAAACCAAGCTATAGCCCAACCAGCTTGGGCACATATTCTCAGGATCTCCTGGGGCTATGCCATGAGCCATTGTTCACTCATATTTGGCTCAGAATAAACCTTTTAAAATATTTTACAGAGTTTGACATTTTTTCATCAATACAGCCTTGGCATGATCACTGCCATTTTCCACAATGACACCGCTTTCAAGGACCCAAAGTATAACAAGATCTTGAAGTACTTGGGGAATCATGAACAAAAAATGAGTCATACAGGGAGAGCAGAGTGAAGCAAGTACAACTAGTAAAATTTCAGTCATTGAATTGTTTAAGAGCTTTGGAAATTGGCTGTTGCTTTATGTTAAATGATAGTTCAAATGTACGTGTGAGTACGTGTGACCCTCAAATGTGTCTCAGCCATTCTGAATAAATCAGAATATACTATTTATAACATCTTATATTCATTTTAATTCCAGTTTGAAGTTTTCACAAATGCCATTGCATTGGCCATGCATTGAGATCTCACCATGAGCCAAACTGCATGTAAGAACTGTCTTGAGACACTGTAGTGACCACCAGAGCAACCCTGTGAGGCAGGCTGTCCTCATCGTGCAGATGAGGAATGTGAGGCTCAGACTGGCTGTCAGGCAGCATGGAGCTGTGGAAGAACCTGGCCCAGAGCTTGGGGAGACTTAGTTTCCAAACTTTAACTCTTATAATGATGGGACTTTGGGGAAATTACTCAACTAAAGTCATTGGAACCAGAATATTTGGAAAGAAATCTATGTTCATCTTGGCAAATCATGCTGGCTTAGTGCAGTCAGGGGAGCACTGGTTCATGAATGTCTTGTTTCCTATCAGATACGCACATATTTATGTGAACTTTGTGACCTTCTTGTTCCTTTTCTTCAGGACATGGGGAGAGAAAGTGCTAAAGCATACTTTTAATTGTGCTGGTTCTGGAGTTTGGAAGAGCCTGTCCAAAGAACAAGCTGGACATGAATAACGTATGACTTGTTCGGCCAAAAGCCCCACCACAAAAACCTCATGGAGCTTGCTATACATTCTTTTCCAAATATCAACTCCGATTAAAAGGACTGTCTGACCCACTGACAATTATTCATTGGCTTCTGTACAGTGTATTATTGTATGGCGCTTCCTCGGAACTATAATTAGGTGATTGTGTAAGGAGTCCACAGTGCACATTTGAATAGTGACTCTGTTTGGATCATGATGTCACTCACTCTGGTCCCCTCTCATCATATGGCTGTGGATGTGGTGTGGTTGAATTCAATACATGTGAAATCAGACCTTCATTGAGTTTTCTTTTTTTTTTCTGAGATGGAGTCTTGCTCTGTCACCCAGGCTGGAGTGCAGTGGCGCGATCTCAGCTCACTGCAAGCTCTGCCTCCCAGGTTCATGCCATTCTCCTGCCTCAGCCTCCCCAGCAGCTAGGACTACAGGCGCACGCTGTCATGCCCAGCTAATTTTTTTGTATTTTTAATAGAGAGGGGTTTCACTGTGTTAGTCAGAATGGTCTCGATCTCCTGACCTCATGATCCACCTGCCTCGGCCTCCCAAAGTGCTGGGATTACAGGCATGAGCCACCATGCGTGGCCCTTCATTGAGTTTTCTGTGAAGTAATGATAGCATTTAAGATGAATCACTTAGGACATACCTGGAGTAATTATGGCCTAAGTGTTAGGAGTTCTGGGAATCCCTCTTTTTAGCTGTTCAACCTGGACAAGTCACTCAGCCTTTCAGAGATGTTGTTCATCTGGAAATTGGGGTTCATGGCACCAGCAACCCCGGTTGGTTATAATATATGATATGTGAATTACCTCTCTCTTCTTCCGCTCCACACCCAATCAATGCCACAGTTATGATGTATAAAGTGTGAATTACCTCCTTCTTCTTCCCCTCCACACCCAATCAATGCCGTGGTTATGATGTATAATGTGTGAATTACCTCCCTCTTCTTCCCCACTACACCCAATCAGTGCCGCATCCCTAGCATGCCCCATCTTAAGCATCTCTCAACTCTCCCCCCTTTTCTTTGTCTGCATGGCCACTTCTCTGTTCCCAGCCTTAGACAGGGCTCACTGCACCCGCTCCTGCAGCCTCTAACAGACTGGCCACTTCCATGATGGTCTTTCTAGGCGATCACGTCGACATGTTCTCTAACTTAGACCCCTCCAGTGGCATCTCTGGAAGTTTGCAGCTGCACTGCTACCTGATGCTGTGCTCTTATGAGTCAAATTCCTAATCTTGACCTGTATGCCCCTGTATGATTTGTCCCCATTTATATGTAGAACCTCATGTCATGCTACTATTCCCCTCACTACCAGTGTTCCAGGCAAAGCAGTTTATTTTTAGCAACTGACATACATTAAACAACTCTCCTTTTAAAAGACTTTTGCACTGGATGTTCCTTCCACCTAGAACTTTCTTCATCCTCTCCTCGGCCCCCTTGCATGCCCTGCAAATCTAGATCAACCTTCAAGAACAAGCTTGAAGGAAAGTGTCCTTTCCTTGGGAAATTCCCATAAGGACCATCCCTCTGCCATTGTATAAACTCCCAGTAAACAGTCTTACTCCTTCCTAGAACATGTCACAACTCCAGTGAAATAATTACCTTGGTAAAGATTTCTTTAAAATCTGTCTCCTCCTCTGAACTATTTCTTGAATCTGGTCTTATTCCCAGCACACCATGTGGTTTTGTCAATACACATTGTAGAAGGAATAAAGTTATCAATCCTCTGTGAACTTAATTCTGTCGTTTTTTGCATTTGAACATCCTTGAGGGACACCTTTGCTCTTTGATCTTCAGCTTCCTCTTGGTCAAGAAGAGCCATGGCTCTGTGTGAGGGAGTTCCATCCCTGGGCTTTCTTAGCCACGAAGGCCTGGCTGGAAAGCACAGTAGGAGTCAGGAAGGGTCGTTGATCTACTGAATGGCAGAGCTGGAAAGAAGCATAGGAGTCCACGAGCCCTGTGGCCACATTTTACAGATGGGGAAGCTGGGGCTAAGAGAAATCAAACATTATGTCAAAAAGCAGAGGTAAGAAATAACTTCAATGAATAAAATATTATTTTAGCAGGGATACATAGAAAAATATATACTTACACATGACATGATTTCTGGACAATTTTGTAATTTTCTTTTTCTGAGACAGAGTCTCACTCTGTTGCCCAGGCTGGAGTGCAGTTACTCGATCTCAGCTCACTGCAACCTCTGCCTCCCTGGTTCAAATGATTCTTCTGCCTCAGCCTCCTGAGTAACTGGGATTACAGATGCCCACCATCACACCTGGCTAATTTTTGTGTTTGTAGTAGAGATGGGATTTCACCATGTTGGCCAGGCTGGTCTTGAACTCCTGACCTCAAGTGATCTGCCCGCCTTGGCCTCCCAAAGTGCTGGGATAACAGGCAAGAGCCACCGCACCCGGCCAAATTTTGTAATTTTCATTTCTATTGCTTCAGCGACCTCCATGGCAGCCTTGAGAAGAAGGTATTGTTTATCCTCATTTTACAGATGAGAAACAACAGAGAACATGGGTAACAAATGAAGTCAACCCAACTGAGAAGTGCCAAAGCCTGACTGAGTCCCCGCATTTCTGGTTGCTGGTTATATAGTGGTTGTTTTCCCCACCATACTGCTCTGCACCTCTTACAAATAAAAACTTGGGCAACTCCACTTCAGGTAAGAAATACTTGGTCAGGGAGCCATAGCTATGAGCAAAATTATGTTCTGCTTCATTCGCTTCTCTGCTTATTTGTGGCTGTGACTTCTGTAACCTGTCCTGCCATCTGTTAAATGAAACTGCCTCAAGTCACAGGGACGTGATGGGAAGAGAGTATAGGCACTTTGGAGTCAGACTTCCTGGAGTTGAAATTCTGGCTCTGTCACTTACAGGTGGGTGAATCCAGACAGGTCAAAGAAATGGGAGACAGAGTGAGACCCTGTCTTAAAAAAAAAAAAAAGAAAAGAAAAGAAAGAAAGAAAAGAAAAGAAAAAAAAAAAAGACATACCTGAGACCGGATAATTTATCTAGAGTGAGACAGGGTCTCACTCTGTCGCCTTGCTGAGCCTTGGGTTTCCCTTTGTAAAATGTGGGGACTAATTGCCTTCCCCTAGGTTTGTTTAGGATTAAATGGGGTAGTGCTTATGAGATACAGATAAAACAGAAGGCACCATAAACGTTATGTTGACAGCAGTAGCATGGAGCAACCCCATTGGCAAGATGTCAGGAAAGGTCATCCATTGGGTAGAAAAAGTACAGGGATTTGTCAGAAAGGCAAAGTGAACCCCAGGGGTACACTTAAAGGGAAGCAGGCTTGCAACTGATGTGGATTTTCTTTTAGCTGCAGGTCTTATTGGCTGTCTCCTAATTTCAAATCTACAACCCCATCTGTTCTGCCCATTGCATTCTTTCGGGTACGTGTGCATTCGTGTGTGTGTATATACGTGCTTGTGCATGTGTGCACACTTACTCATTGACTGGCTGGGAGCAGGGGCCAGGCAACCTCCCAACAGCTCCCCAACCCCCAGCAGCATCAGCACATTTCTACACATATTACATATCAAGTTCTGTATTTGAATGGGAAAGGTGAAAAAAGTGAGACAATGTTTATAAATTAATTTTATTGCCAATCTGAAAACAGTTTCATTCCCAAAGCCATTTAGAAGCTTTTGTTTTTCTAAGCTGTGACTCTGCAACATTTATTCAGAAATGGTCCTTTAAGGAACTCACACAAATGGGCTGTGAATACTATCATTTTATGAGCACCCTTTCCACAATCTAGAAGTCAAAGTCTGAAAACGCCATCCCTAAATGTTAAACTAGAAAATATTAATTTAGAGTAATTTTTTTGTTACTGACATTTAAGTTACAATTTCATGGCAGACTCTGAAGAAAGGAGGAGGGGTTGCAGAAGGAGGTGGCAGGTGATCAAAGTAGAATGAACCAGTTGGAAGAAAAGAAGAGCCTAAGTCATTCCTGAGGAAACATAAAGGAAAGCCGGAGCCTACCAACTTCTCAGGCAGATGAAAGTCATGCCCTGGGGGATTTACCAGGTCCACGTGCTGTGCCTCAACCTGCAGGCTCTGTCATTGTGTTTTGCCTACAGATCAAGGGCAGGTCCGGGGCAGACCCATCCTCCTCAACTTCCCAAGACTGAGATGAAAGCAAGAGTTAGATTAGTTCATTTTCAGCGAGAAATCAAATCACCATGACAAGGTCTGGAATCTCACATTAGCATAGCAAGCTCTTTTCCTCTGTACATTGAGCCAGCTCAGAAGAATCTCTAATGTCTAATAGTGGGTGGGGGGAAGGGTTAGTGGAGATCATCAGAGTAGACCATGCCCTTGGGGCCCAAAGGCAGGAAGTCCCCAAGCCAAGGCTCTGGTTCCTTGGTAAGTGATATGGTTTGACTCTCTGTCCCCACCCAAATCTCATGTTGAATTGTAATCCCCAATGTTGGGAGAGGGACCTGGTGGGAGGTGATTGGATCATTGGGGCAGATTTCTGACTTGCTCTTCTCTTAATAGTGAGTTCTCATGAGATCTGGTTGTTTGAAAGTGTGTAGGATCTCCCCTTTTGCTCTCTCTCTCTCTCTCCTGCTGCCTTGTGAAGATGTGCTTACTTCTCTTTCTCCCTTCTGCCATGATTGTAAGTTTCCTGAGGCCTCTCTAGAAAAATTACCCAGTCTCGATATGTTTGTTTTTTTTTGTTTGTTTGTTTGTTTGTTTTTTCCAGACAGGGTCTCACTCTGTTGCCCAGGCTGGAGTTCAGTAGCATGATCATGGCTCATGGCTCACTGCAACCTCCACCTCCTGGGTACAAGAGATTCTCCCACCTCAGCCTCTGAGGTAGCAGGGATTGCAGACATCTGCTACTATGCCTGGCTAATTTTTGTATTTTTAGTAGAGATGGGGTTTCACCATGTTGGCCAGGCTGGTCTCAAATTCCTGATCTCAGGTCATCCATCCACCTTGGCCTCCCAGGTATGTCTTTATAGCAGTGTGAGCACAGACTAATACAGGAGGCCACTGTCCGGACCTGCACCTGTGAGAACTCTCTTTCCTCTCATTGCCAGCCAACCCCATTTGGAGGAGAACCTTCTTCTTTCTAAGGAGAAGACAAAGTTTTCTCTGTGAGGTCATAGATTCCCCAAAGATTGAAAATAATGAATTCAAGGTAATAACCAGATATTCAGGATGGCAAAGAAATGGAGGCATTTGCATATTCCTTAAAATGTCTTCTGTGTATAAAGGAGAAGAAAGCAAATGATGATGTTACCATGTGTGGGGGTGGAGAGGGAGGAAGATGGCCTCTGACCTGGCAAATTAAATTCTGACTAGCTTTGGTGAGGTCAGGTG